CTTTTCATCTGTGATTGCATAGCTGTCTCGTAGTCTCTTCGACTGTTTTAACCCCAAAGTTAACATGATTTCACTGATTTAAAGACTGTGAAGCTTTGCTAGATTTACTAAGGATTTACTAAGTGTTCTGCTTAGTGAAGGGAATTGTACCAGCAGTAGAGGTGCATTTGCTGCTAACTTGGTAAGCAATGAATGAGTTACTGAAGGTGGGCAAGAAAGTGTGAGAACCGTTAGCCAGCAGAAGATGTTGGTGCTGCATCTTGTTGGATTGCATTTTATGATTTCTGCTATGAGCATAAATCTGTGTAAAGCCTGGTTTATGCTTCTCCGTCAGCTCCGCAAGGGACAGACACGCACGGATTGACGGAAGCGTTTTGCTCCCTAACTTCTCCTGGGGAGTGTTGCAAAGCAATTGCCGGGCAGGACAACAGAGGGCGTAGCGCTGTTCTGTGGTATCCTGTCATGTATCGGTCCAAGATCGTGTGTTTTATATTGTGTTTTTTGTGTATATAAGAGACTTTTAACACAGACATATTTGTCTCTCATTCTCCCACCGCTTCATGCGCTCCCCACCTCTAAACCCACGTTTCCTGTCACTTCCGCCCACAAATAAAACGCTTGCTGCGCATCTTTTCACTCCTCCAGTCACGGGAGGATGAAACGTTCATATTTTCAGTTTTTTCGCAAGGTATTCTTCAAGCTTCTCCGTGTCTGCCGCTAGTTAAACTCGGCTCTCTTTGCAATGGCGGCGCTGTAAACAACAGCGGCGTCCTGACCAATCACAAGCTTGCGTAATCCGTCTCGTTCGACGGATGTTTAAAAAAATGGGCTTGACTCCGTACGTACTTGCGTGCCAGCCGGAGCCCTACGCAAGGACGGATAATGGCGTTGCGTGTCTCCGCACTGACGCAGACGGAGAAGCATAAATCAGGCTTAAGCTATCCCCATTTTGTTTAAGAATCTTTTAGCAGTACGAAAACTGTTTTCAATTTCATAAAAAAGCAGTTCTTTCTGTGAAATGGGACAATACATTCTGTAAGTAAACACTTTGACTACAGATTGAATTTCATTTTGATTGTGCAGATCTCTTCACCTGGCAAGCCACCCTATATATGTGAATATATGGTCTGGCCTACGTTGTTTTTCAAACTGTCTCCACAAGCTATTGGATAACGAACAATGTGACATACTCCCCACTATGGATGTCAGTCAATAAGCCAGTCCGCCATACTCAAAGAAGATGCAAATACAAATGTTTTTCTAAATAAACTTAAGGACCTCTATCTGCTCTTGACTCAAGAAAGGCCCAAGTCAAAATAGTCCAACGTTGATGCCAAAAAGTGCTGTGATCGGCTAACCAAACAACTAGAGCACTGTGATTGGACCACTATGGAGCTGTCGCCATCTTAGTTTTGCTAATAGGAACAAACATCCCACCTACCTGACTGATAGAGTGCTGTGATTGGACCTCTCCAGATATCGGTAGTCAACAGGTCAGTCCACAATACAGTGTCAAAGAATATGCAACATCCCACCCACCAAACAGACAAAATGCTGTGATTGAAGTGGAACCAGACTTTCCAGGGCTGCGGAGATTCCAATGGAGCATGGGTAGACCGACTGGTAGAGCAAAATTATTTTGCTTTGGCAACTGATGGTCTAGAGTCTAGGCTGCAGATCGGTGATAATGAAGCAGGTACAATGTGCCACAGTGACACTTTTTGGTGTGTGTGGGCTACCATATATGCAATACCTACTCTGATCTGTGCGGTGTCTTTACACAATGGTGCTGATACATCCCAGAACATAGCAATATTTTTATTATATTTACCAGTCAGCCAGGCTAGTGAATTCACCATGTGGGTTGTGATGCAAATCTCTGTTGCAGGTGAGATCTCGCATTTATATTATGAACTTGTTCATGTTAAAAAGTCAAAAATTAAGAGCAATCTAAATTTTAGGAAGTTTCTAAAAAGATTAAATCCCAAGGTGATGTAAAAATACAAAATTATGTTATTTTTCAGTGAGTCTGCTGTGGTCTCCAGAGTGAAAGAATGCCTTGACAGGATTAGTCATTAATATTCATGATACGCATCTGATTGGCTAACAGCAACGCAACTCCTCTGTTGCTTTGTTCAAGCTTTGTTTCTTGGGTAGGACATTCTACGTTGATGTTTTATATCCACACAAGCCTGGAGGATATGCTGGTGAAGTAATTCAGGCCATGGTAATCCTAAAGGGTTCGGATGAAGGCAAGTAGTCTTCTTTGGTTTCTTGAGGACGTTTCGCTTTTTTTCGGGTTTTGTCAATTCTGACTGAAATATGGGAGGAGTTCTGCTGTATTGTGGAGTTCATTCATTCGTTCGTTCGTTCGTTCGTTCGTTCGTTCGTTCATTCATTTATAAAGTGCCTTCTCGCTATCAGTATGTACTAAAGCTATTAAAACCAAAATAAAAGCTAAATACAGGCAGACACTGCATTTATATACAAATTTCAACCAAGCTAATAGAAAAAAGAAAGGGCCAGTTGAAAGAGTCAGTTAACACTAATCAGACCACAGGCCTAACTGGCTGTTGGGAGTCTGTAGTGCATTTTCAGTTTTGCTCTAAAAGCTCCAAGGGATGTTGCACATGTGATTTCCAGTGGAAGGCTATTCCGCAATTTAGATGCAAAAGCAGGAAAAGCTTGATCTCCGTGACTCTTACATTTAGTTCGTGTAACAACCGGTAGGTTGTTGGCAGCGGAGCAATTAGATCTTGAAGGGGCGTATTTCTGCAGGAGTGACTACTAGTGACTGGAATGTGATTACAAGAATCCTGACCTCAATGCAATGCTTTACCAGAAGCCACTGCAGTGCGTACAGATATTCTCTCCTGTTTTTTTCACTCTGGCAATGAACCTTGCTCCAGCTTTCTAAACCACCTGCAGCTTTGACAGTGTTGATGTTGGTAGACCGACATACAGAGAGTTGCAATAGTCTAGTCTGGACAGCACAAATGCAGGTGTGACAATCTCTGAGTTCTTTTTGGATAGCATAGGCTTAATCCTTTCAAGGTGCCAGAGCTGAAAAAAGCAAGATCTCACCACGGAGTTCACCTGTGTATCAAAGGTCAATCCTGAGTCCAACTTCACACCAAGTTCTGTTACCACTTTGCATTCAAATGGAGCCAATGTTAAGAGGTCTAGGCTCCATGGTTGCCAGCTAATAGGAGGAAAACGATGACTTCAGTCATATTCTTATTGCAAGTTGCCTGCCAATCATGAGTGCACGTCTTTTACACACTCCACCACAGACTTAATCAAGCCAGACAATAATTTTTTTACTGGTAAGTAGATCTGGCAGTCATCCTAATAGTCATCCGTTCCGTCACACAAGTGAAAATCAATATCGCACTTGCGAAAGATCATGCCAAGTGGGAGTGTAAATGTTAAGAATAGCAGAGGACCCAAAACAGATCCCTTAGGGACCCCCAATTTCAGCTGTTTCAGAGATGATGAGTGATTACCAGTAGAAACACTCATAGTTCTATCAGTCAGGTAGGACTTCATCTGACTCAGAGCTGCTCCTGAGTTGATAATGCTAACAGTTTCCATCAGTTAACTCATTAACTGCCATTGACCAGAAAAGTCGTCATTTTAAATCCAACCGTTCACTGCCAATGCCAACTAAATTCGTCATTTGCCTTTTTTTTACTGTGTGGGCATCGGAACAAGCCCCCGCACAGTGCGAACAAACATCACAGCTTTAAAGCCAATCTTCATCCACGTACGTCACATGTCACGTGATCAGGAAGCAGAAAATCCATGTGTTAGGAGATCGTTTTGGGCCGCTGCTGTAAAAAAGTGAGGCGCGAACCGGAAAAGCTTCTGCCGATCACAATTCAACAACGGGTTATGAAAGAACGGATAATGCCCGAAACTCGCTGATTCTTTCTGATGTAAGAGGTGAGTCTACTCCTTGTTTTGATAGTTTTGGCGTTGACATCGTCCAAGCACGCAACGTTCGGTGACTCTGAAAATAACAGTAAAAACGGGGGGAAATGCCGGCAGCAAGCGGCTTTACTGATTAGGAAACGGCTGGCAGTGAATGAGTTAAGATGTGCTTTGCTCTCTTTTGGCAGCAAAAAACAACAAAGCCTTCTTCAGTTGCAAGTCAAGGTGGTCTAGGCCATTAAATCTAATTTTCCCTGTGATGTAGATAAGACTGGCTTTTGTTTATCATTTTCCTGTATGTACTAAATTTGGCTAATGCAGGCGATAAGGGCTGAAGATGTTTTTAGCATACATGTGCAACTCACAGTGATCAACTGTAACATTTCAAAAACGAACAAGTAATAAATGGTTTCCCAGTGAATGAGCCCTGTAAAAGACCTACTTTCAGATATCAGCATGGTCTTGTATTATGCATTCTTTCATCCTATCCTTTTTCCTTTTTACTTTACTCATCTCATTAGCACCAGCTCATTGAAGTAGCTATTGCTATTTTGTTGGGCCTACAGTATGTTCTGTTGAAATATGACAATAAAGCTTTCTTATCTATTTTAATCTAATCCAATCTAATCTAATCTGAAACACACCCCAGTTCGCATGCATGCAAAAAATAACCAAGATTTGTTTTTTTCTTTAATTCAGTCTTTTGAGATCTATGGAGAGAAGCAGTGTTGGCATCAGTCTGCAGCGTCCAGCGGTACTTTTGCATTCTGGACATAAAGTGGGCAAATGGCTCTTGCTCTAGTGAGTGCTTTGGGATGGGGTTGGAGACCACAGAAACACCTGATGCTTATAAAGACGAAAGATAAATGAAATAGTTAACGTGTTAACTATGTTGCCAGAATCATCAAGCAAGCTGCAAACACTGGAAAGAAGTTTGCCTTCATTCACAATCTCTTTGGAACACACCTGAATAAACTGCATTCTTGCTACTTTTTTATCTTTTTGCACAATAAAAACACCACGCATCAACATTCTTTTGAAGTAGTTTAATTTTTACATATCACACATTTTATACAAGAGGTTCTGTGCAAACGTTTAGGTTTGCTTTTCCAAAAAGTCAGGAAATGTTAAAGGTTATGTATATCTCACTAAAAACAACGAAAGTGCACCTGTTCTAAGGACACACACACACACACACACACACACACACACACACACACACATACACACACACACACACACACACACACACACACACACACACACACACACACACACACACACACCCACACCCACACCAAAGCTCAACCGCAAGACACAGAACGCAGCAGAATCGAGGCCCATCAGGGAGAAGCAGGAAAGGTGGGTGAGGATGTGGTGATTTTCATCTAAGTTCTCCTAAGCGGCAGCTAGATGTGGTTTAAAACAGAAATGGTACATGTCCTCATTTTGACTTACTGGAGATTCTGTTGGGATAATATGAACAATACTTTTGATTGCATGAGAGCAAAAAACTCCCATCACAGCTTTTGCATTTGCCTGCAATCAACCTACATATGTTGATTTCCATTTCAAGTAAGCGACCAAATTAATGCAAAAGTTTCAAATAAACACAAAATGATAACATCTTTGAGGCTAGGGGTTAGCCACCAGTCACGTTAGCTATGAGTTAGCTTCTTTCCTCAATTTTATCATAAATGTCATCAAATGAAACCATCATTTTAAAAACATAATGAAAAGGTTGCATTAAAAATTCTGGTCTCGTTTTCATAAACAGTCTCAACATAAATGCAAATCAGTCTGTATTTTTAAGGCAGACTGGTAAAAATAGGTCTTCTGTGAAACAGTGAGTTGTGGTTTCGATCAGGTGTTGCTGCTGCTATTTTCAGCTGTCACTTTGGAGGAGGCACCGGATGTATAGAGATAGTCCTTAAACAGGCTCATCACCCGCTTCTTGTACGTCTTTATGGCAAAGAAGTAGATGACAGGATCTAGGCAGCAGTTCAAGTTCATTAATGAGACCGTAATCTGGAGAGAGGATTGTGAAGGTGGATTATTAGAATGAAATCAGATGAGGATTATGTGATTGAAACCAAAACTCCAGTTCTTACCTGCAAGGACATCTTAAAAGCTCTCAGTTCCTCACATGTTGGTTGGCGGTACATTTTTCTGAACATAAACTGCATTATGTTGAGGTGGTAAGGGCTGAAGCAGATGATGAAGGTGAGGAGGATGAGGAGGATGACTTTGTTGGCCCTGTGGTTTCGACTCGTTCTACCTGTAATGGAGGTCTTCTTGGCTGCATCCCGGAGCTTCAGGTTGATCTTGGCGTAGCAGCCCATGATGATGGTGAGTGGACAGCAGAAGGAGATGACGCAGGCCAGAATCAGGAGATAAGGGGTGACTTGGGAACCTTCAAAGTTGAAGTACTCCATGCAGGTTTTTTTGTCCCCACTCACATGAAGCATGCTGCGAAACAACAGAGGAGCTGTTTCAATAAATACTAGAGTCCAGACCAGGCAGCAGAACCTACGGACAAACTTAACACTGCGCAGAAACTGCAACTGGTGTGGATGCACCATGGCCAGGTATCTGTCCAAGCTGATGCAAGTCATGAAGCCGATTCCTGTTGAAAAGAATGCAGAAACCAATAAAATTACATGGAAATGTGTTGATGACTTGCAGATATTTAATACATCAATAAAAGTCTTTGTTTATTGGGAAGCTGTGTCATAATTACCTGCGTAGGTATTTGCAAAAAAAAGGAGTGTGGTCAGCCGGCAAAGGAGGTCACCAAAGGGCCAGTCAAAGTGACGGATGTAGTAAGTGATTCTTCCTGGCAGTGCTAGCGTGAACAGGGCATCAGACAGCGCCAGGTTGGCCAGATAGATTGAGGTGGAGTTGAACTTCTGCTTCCTCTGGCAGATAACACAGAGGACCAAACTGTTGCCACACACGCTGATGATAAAAATCACACTGTAGAAAATAGGGAAGAGGACAACGGCAGCACTTTGGTAGACCAACACATCACAGCTGCTCTGGTTAGGAGAGATCTCTGTGGAATCCACGGTGAAATTCACACCAGCCATTTCTACCTGGGGATGACAAATGTGGATAATACTTTTTTACCAAAATGAATAAGCACAGAAATAAAAAAAGCAAAGCTAATTCTCACTATGCACAGTTGTTAAAAAAGTGGCAAGTGTGTCCAAGTCTCTCTTGATTGTTGCTTAAAGCTTCTGCATGGGCTTTAAAATGAGATCCAACCTTTTTTAAAAGGTCCCATGAAGAGTTCAAATCCCACCTCTTCGTTTTGTCATCATGCCTAGCAAGCACACCTCATCAACGCAAGGTTCAGAGATTCAAACCAGAGCATGTGTTTGTGTTCTTTGAGCTTCACATAGTGGTTTCTAAATGTTTCAGCTCCTGAGGCACAAAACGGGGCTGATGGAGATATGCACCACCATATACTACTGATAAAAGCCTCTAAAACAAAATGATACCCTCACAGCCTCAACTATTTCACCAACAATGGCCTTTTATATTTTTTAACATGTTTTTTTTTTCTTTTTGCAAAACCTGCTTTAGGGTCTGAACCCTTGCTTTGGGAACTCCTGACATGTACATGTATGCACATTAGACCCATAACACAAACAGTATGAATGATTAGATACAACTCTAGAATACTTTATACCAAAAATAAGACGGTCAGGTTAATGACCGTAACCCTGGTTTCACACTGAAGCATCAGCGGCGCGGAACGGCAGCGGGACATTACTGCTTCAAGTCGAATCCAGTCTATGGACTGCTTCAAACCAGCAGCAATGCAGCAATTTCCATGTGCCCCCCAGAAGCGGTACATCATGCTGCGCCGCTGGAGATGCTCGGGTTCTATTTTTGCCGCGAGCCACTTCAGGGATGTGTCAGTTTCCGCATTTAACATAGGGCTAGACAGTAAATCACACACGGTTTCAGTATAAAATCCCTGATAATTTTCTAAATAAAAGTACTGCAGTGATGCTATTTTATATATATGAAGCTTACATGTGACCCAACAGCTTATTTACTCACAGCATTGTTCCAGAAGTGCAACAGTGTGTTTTTCGTGGCTTTAATCCTGGCAGTGGAGAGGAACAACATAATTATTTTATTTAATTACCTGCACTTATATAGCGCCTCTCAGAGTAAGGACTCCAAAGCGCTTTACACTACAGTGTATCATTCATCCACTGACACACACATTCACACATTGAAGGTGATGAGCTACGATGTAGCCACAGCTGCCCTGGGGCACACTGACAGAGGCGAGGCTGCCGAGCACAGGCGCCACCGGTCCCTCTGACCACCACCAGCAGGCAAGGTGGGTTGAGTGTCTTGCCGAAGGACACAATAGCAGAAGTCTCTGTCCGGAGCCGGGATCAAACCTGCAACCTTCCGATTACTGGACAACCCGCTCAACCTGTTGAGCTACTGCTGCCCAACATCATCTATGATATCCAACAGCGATATAAAATGTGATTTCCTTCTTTTTGGTTTAATGGCGCATTGCAACAACAAACCATGACCTGGTGTCTCGAGGGATCATGTGGTCTTGCGAGTCCAGCGAAGAGCTGGGGGGGCTGGTGCCTATCTCCAGTGGTCGATGGGCAATCAGGCGGGGTACACCCTGGACAGAGAGCCAGTCATCAACCTGAGCCAATATTCTTAATTTATCCTGTGGTATGCCAGATCATCCTCAAGAATGCACAGTGGCAGCGCCAGGGGGGGCGCTAGGGGGCGTTATGGCTACCCCTGGATTAGTCATTGCACCCCCAAGTAAAAAACAGGAAATTGATGTTAACCTTTGACCTCATTTTCCACCTGCGAACGAGTGAAAGGTAGAGCTAGTGGTAAAATTGATCGGTTTTTGTTGCCCAAATTTCCACGGGTTAAGTCAGAAACAAATGAATTTTGGAAGTGATCTCAGACCCACAAAAACCTACGGATCTGGATGAAGAGAGTCAGGTTTTGCCGCTGGAAATGCTAACACTAACATTAGCTAACCTTGCAACACTATAGATGGTTTTCTGTGTGGCTGTGTGTGTTTATGATTTCATGGACAAGTCAGCGATTGTTCATATGTTTATGATGAATATTAATGATTGTTTCAGGTGTTGTTGAGGTGTTGTACACACATGTGTATCTGCTAGTGTTGAAGGTGTTTTAGAGAACAATAGGTACGCATGACCACTTCCTTCATTGCACCCTCAATGAAAAGACAAGCTCCTTCATAGCACCTGCAGAAAAAACTTTCTGGAGCCGCCACTGAGGCTGCAAGAGATGCAGGACCTCTTATCTATCCTCTTTGATTAAAGCTTGTCTTCCCTGGCTCATAAATGACTTTTTACAATTACATATGCTTAAATCCAAGTGTTTTAATAATGTGTCAAATACTCTACATTAATGAATGGTGGGTTAAAATGATTATTTTTCCTGTAATGATTTATTTCAGATCTTACATTAAACCAGATTAGTATTTGTTCATTTTAATGTTAACCTATCAGTATGAACACAGTAATATCACCACATCATTGTTAATGGTTAAAGCATTTGTGCTTCACATGACTGTTTAATATTTTTTACTTCACACTAAAAAGTGGATTTAATAAGCTTTTGCCTGCAGTGTGAATGTTGCCTAAGACTCCAAATCCTGTCTGAAGCTACTTTCTGCTCCAGCTGACCCTTCCTTCTTGGAGCCAGCTTGGTGGCCCAGTGGCATGAGTATTTACCCTGACTCTGGGAGGTTGTAGGTTCAAATCTGCAGTTGGGTCATACAAAAGACTTTTAAATTGGGAACCAATGCCTCAACACTCAGCTTTATGAAGTGCAATTAGAAATCTTAACGGTGGAATAGGTTGACTCGGCAACTCAAGCAGCTGCTTCTGAACCCAAAAGATGTTGTTATCCTTCTCAGAAGAAAAGCTCCCATAAAAGATCTAAAACCAGAGTTATTTTAGGTGAAGCCTACAAAAGATGGACCCAAAAAAGTACCTTCTCAGTGGACTAGTACTATGAGTGCTTGCCCTGCGACTGGGGCATCGGTGTTCAAATCCCAGTCGGGTCATACCAAAGACTTTAAAAATGGAACCCAAAGTCTCGCTGCTTTATACTCAGCTTTAAGAGGTTGGATTGGGGGGTTAAACCACCAAACAGTTCCTGAGCACAGCCAGGGCTGCAGCTCACCGCTCCCCATGAGGATGGGCCAAATGCGGAGATGCATTTATACCAGCGTGTGATGACTAATGGGACTTTAACTTTAAATAAAACATTTCACATATCGGCGACGAAACTCGTATCCCGACAGCTGGAAACCTTGTTCTATTGTTGCAACTACAACCTCCACACGCCAGATGTTACGTTGGTGTTTGTGTTCCAAATTCCACCTTTGAAGGGGAACTAGACAGTTTAGGCTTGCTTTTAGCACCCCCTACTGTCCATTTCTAAAACCAAGAGCAAAACGTATCTTCTTGCTTAGCATTTGTCCATTTAACACCTTGATCTAATAGCTGAAATGTCTCCCAGCCTTCCTTAGTGTCTACAGGATTGATTCATCGTTAAATTGAACAAATCGGCTGTGTTCTTGATCTAAAACATGCAGCATATATGCTAGAACTAGACTGCAGCGCCAGGTAGGTCAGCTTAATTTTTCCAAGTCCAACAGACTGGACCGGCACTCTGAAGTTTCCCGTATAATATTCTGGCCACAAGGGGGCGACAGGGGCTGGATGGTTTTTCATTAACCCTGTAAAGGGTAATGTAGCACATACTGGCTCAAGACAATTATTTAAAATATGATAGAAAGATAAGAAAGTTGCATAGTATCCCTTTAAACCACCACCTTGTAGGGTGAGACAAAGCGTGACGCATTGTTGCTTCTGTATAAATACAAAAGCTATCAGTGGATGTAAATGGTGGCTATTTGTGAGATCAGTTCCTTGTAAAAGCCTGGTTTTTGGCTACCTAAAATCTCAAACATTTATTTTTTTGCTTCTTTTCCTTCAATAGAAGTCTTTTCTAATTCTTTATGCACTGAATGTGTCTAAATCAAATAGCATTGTTATTGGATGAACCTGGGTTGTACTAATTTGGGATCATTTTAATATTTTGCACACACACACACACACACACACGTGTGTGTTAGCAAGACCACTGGCCAGTTTTTGTTGGGGTTTTATTTTATTAAATATTATGCTTCATGCATGATTATTATGTCTGCAATAGGAGCACTTGTAAGAAACAGTGTTTGAGCTTTCTTATAAGGTTTATGCAAAGATGATATAGCTTCAGACTGTTTTCTGTGTAACTGTTTTTCTCCTGTGCTGACAAACCAGGGTGCGCAGACGTCCAGAGTAGCTTGTCCTTCTGGGTTCGGAACCAGCCTGGTTCGGTTCTTATCAAAGCTGAGCAGACAAGGCTTAGCTTCTGTGTAAAAGTGACCACTCTTCTCTGTGTGTTTAATAAAAAACTGCATGGAGACAGGCAAGCTCAGAACAGACAGAACTCGTTTTGGAGCTCGCTTGTTCTCCCCTGTGGGGCAAAATTCATTCAAGTCTCCTGTTGTTTTGTTTGCTCCGGTCTCGAGGTTGCAGGGGTAAAGAAAAGACCCCAACAGTTTTAATGACATTTTGATTGGGAGTCTACCCAATTTATGATGACCATCACAGCTAATCAACATTAGCACACACAAATATGGCTCTCATTCTGTTTTACAGATAACTCGTATTTGTTTTTAAAACAGTAAATTAGTTTCTAAATTTCAGTGAAAGAAAAATACTACGTTAATTTGTTTGCCCATCACAATAAAAGTCAACTATGACCCAAGCTTCAGTGCTAAAAGAAGTGCACATATGGTTTGTTCGGCAGAATCATGCTTGATCACCTCTTCTCGACCTGGTCAAGTTGCAATGGTACCACCGACCAACAAGCAAGAGACTGGAGACCTCTGCAGTAAAACACCAGCAGCACAACAATAAAAGAAGGTGCTCTTTGCTCGTGTTACTCATCTTCTTAAAGCATAGCAGCATTCTTCATATAAATACGTTCTAATTTACAGAAACTGAAAAGAAGTCTTTGTGACTTGGAAATACTAATTTTGATGACTTATGATGTTTTTATTGTGAAATGAAACTTTTTAGAATACATTTTTCCAGCTTTTCAAAAAGGAGTGCAACAAAACTAAGAATAAAACAAAGAAAACCACTATAGATAATATCCGTGACTTGTACTGGCTATATCATGATAAAACTGCAGCCTTTCACCGTTGCTGCTAGAGGGTGCAGCTCGTTTTAAGAAAGGTTAGATGAAGTGATAGTGAGGTTTTATATTAAGCTCCTCTCACTGAGGCTTCTTAAATTCTGTACAACCGAGGCGAATGCAGGCAGCTCCGTAGTCGGCCTGATAGAAGATAGAAGAGGAAGCTGCTGCTGGTGTCACAATCCTATGATGTGTGGATGAGTCACTAACAGTCACAAGGATGTCACATTAGGTATCGCAACCACGAACGTGAAA